GATCATCATTGGTGGTGGCGGTAGTGGGGGATCCTCTGGATGCTGCAGTGGAGGATCCAGTGGTGGCAGTGGTGGTTCCTCGGGCCACGCAATCATCATCAGCTCTGGAGGGGGCAGCGGAGGCTCCTGCCAGTCCATGCAACAGAAATGCCCCATTGTCATTCCCCACATCGAGTCCCACCAGACCAAGCAGGCCTGCCACTGGCCTCCCAGCCACCAGAAGTAACAGCCACAGCTGGCCCTGGTTCTCATCAAGAACAGCCCTGCCTCTGCCCTGTCACCTTTTTCCCTCCAGATCTGGCTCTGTTAGCCTGTTTCTTCCCAGCATGTCCTCTTCTCTTCTCTTCCCTTGATGTTGCATACCTGTGCTGAGAATTCCACGATTAACAGCCTTGTGCCCTGCTGCTGGTGTTGGGATGGCTTTGATAAGGCTCTGCTGCTTTTCCAAAGAGTATTTTTTATATCTAATAAATGTAATAGTATCTCAAAGCTGCATTTTTTTGGAGTTTGTTTTTTTCTTGTATTGTCAACCAGCACCTTACGGTGTTGGAAGCTGGAAATCTACCTGATGAGACATTTCACTCCTCCTCTGTGTAAAGAAGGTGATGCGTTCAATAGTGCATTGCTGTAGATGCAACTCTAAAGCCATTCGGTTTATATGCCTGGAGACTTTGCACCTTCATTTCCCCCCTGGGCTCCATGACAGAGTAACAGCAGAGCCTAAAACATCAAGCACCCACAGCTCCCAACGTCCTTTTGGTACCTGTGCACAGCGCAGTCATCCCAGTCACAGAATCATAAATCATAGAATGGTGTGGGTTGGAAGGGGCCTTGAAGATCATCGAGTTCCAACCCCCCTGCCATAGGCAGGGACACCTCCCAGTAGACCAGGTTGCTCAGTCATGGTTTCTAAGTCCTCTGAGGTACCAACGCCCAACGGCCATGTCTGCAGAGAGGGCAGTGCTGCTGGGAGACATGGCCAAGCCCGTCAGGCTCAGTCCTGAAGAGCAGTGAATGTGGCCAACCCTCAATAGCAGCTGTTGCTGCCCAGGGTGGCCAATAACACCATGCCAACGTCCACGTCCCTGCCATTGTCCCCCTTCCGTCCCAGCTTTCCAAACCTCAGGGCATCTCTACCCAGAGGGTAGGCCTCACATGCTGAGTCAGGCAAATCAGCTCTGGGCCAGGCAGAAGGAAATAAAACCAGCAGCAAGTCCCTCAGGCAGCTCAACGCACTCCAAATCACACCTCCAGGCCTCGATCCCTCCTTGCCCAACCTTTTGAAATCTGCTTTGAAATGCCACGGGCAGCACCACCACCCCCGTGTGCTGCTTTCTGCCCGGTAGACGTGGCCTTCTGCCAAAGATGGGGCTTATCATCCCCACGGCAGAATTGCTCAAATCTGAACAAACCTAGTCCATCCTGCAAGAGCCGTGCTGCTGGGCCAAGCTGGAGCACCACAAACTGCAGCACGGACATCATGCTGGACAACACTACCAGCACGGCCACAGCACATATCCTCTGCAGCCCTCTGGATCAGTCTCCCTGGAGTCCCTGGTGCTCAGTACAAGTACAGGCTGGGCGGAGAATGGATGGAGAGCAGCCCTGAGGAGAAGGACCTGGGGTTTTAGTGGATGAGCTCAACATGAACCAGCAATGTGCACCAGCAGCCCAGCGAGCCCCCGGCATCCCGGGCTGCATCCCCAGCAGCGTGGCCAGCAGGGCGAGGGGGGATTGTGCCCCTCTGCTGCGCTCTGCTCTGGGGAGACCCCCCTGCAGTGCTGCCTCCAGCTCTGGAGCCCCCAATAGGAGAGACATGGACCTGGTGGAGCGGGGCCAGAGGAGGCCCCGGAGATGCTGGGAGGGCTGGAGCCCCTCTGCGGGGAGGACAGGCTGGGAGAGTTGGGGGGGTTCAGCCTGGAGTAGAGAAGGCTCCGGGGAGACTTTATATCAGCTTTCCAGTATCTGAAGGGGGTCTACAAGAAAGCTAGAGAGGAACTTTTCAGGCTGGACAGGACTTTGAGCAACCTGGTCTAGTGGGAGGTGTCCCTGCCCATGGCAGTGGGGCTGGAAGAAGATGGTCTTTAAGGTCCCTTCCAACCCAAACCATTCTGTGATTCTATCATCGGTGCTCTTTTCAAGCCAGAGGAAGGACACAGCATATGAAAATGCAGAAGGCAGGTATTTGGAGGTATAATCCTTCATTAGAGGAGTTATCCAGCAGCAGTGGGTTTAAGTGTTAGGACATTCACACCTCCACAATTCTCTCCAGGGCCCCTAAACTGTCTCAGAGCATCTCTAGCACCCTTGCAAAACACCCAAGCTGGGCGCTTCACTTTTGACAAGCTTCTGGGTCAGGTGCATATGTCTTCCTCAGAAAATCTCCCACCGGAGCCACCAGTGAGATGCTGGAGGGATCAAGGTGCTGTGTGGCCACCAGATGCTTTCTGAGCACTTGCTTTCCCCTCTCATGGGTACCCACTGATGACACCCACCCTGACAGCGATGCCCCGAGCCATGAGCTCTGCCACACCACCAAACCGCAGCCTCCCTGGCCAGGACCTTGCCCCCACCACCCTCTGCTGCACACTCGTTAATTCTCTTGCTCAGCATTTCCCTATGCCCACACTCCCACCCACCTCTCCCGGTCTCCCCCAGCGGTGCCACCTCGCTGGAGGCTGAAGCGGTCCTCCGTAGCTCAGGGCTGGAGCACAGGAATAGGATCATTAGGCAGAAGTAGCAATTACTGCCTCATGCAATGCAACAAGCAGCGTGAAGGAAAGATATTGATCAGATGTCATGAGTCAAAGCAAACACTGAAATCAGAGTTTGGTAAATAAATCCTTGCCATTCCTTAGGGTGTCTCACTTCCCATATATGCTAAAGGCCATATAAAAGTTCCTGTCTGTTAAAGCTCCTCATTCAGTCGACTTTTATCTTCTAAATGTGTTTCCAATGGCTGAGGAGGGTAAGTCGGCTCTTTCCTGAGACTTTTTTACTTCATATTCATGGGTAATAGCTTCATTTGAGATCTTGACATGTGCTTGCAGCGGTACCTGCGCTGCCCGAGCATCCATAGCAAATTTCTTGGCATCTGTACGGTTTCTTGCTATGGTGTGGAACAGAAGCGAGGTGAAGTCAGGTCACTGGACTGGGAGCCATAGGGCTGAGGATGCTAAAAACCCAGATGCGTCCGTAGCAGGACCAGCACATGATGACTGCATAGTCTTTGCAGTTTTCAACGTGTTTGCAACGCGTGGGACGCATTTTTGATATGCTTTAAGAACAAGCCTATGCTGTACTTCATAATGGTTACACACCACTACGGCTGTGCCGATTACCTTATGTAAAAGACCTTTGGGGATGCTACGCAACGATGGCAGTAATACAGCCAGCAACATCATCGTGCGTGGAAATTTTGATCCACCGCTCTCGCAACAGTTTAAAAACAGAAGCAAGGGTAATCCTTGCTATTTTTACATCTCTGTGGTTACGGTCATGAAGATGAGCGGGGAAAACCATGGCAGGCATTAGATGTTAAAAGAATATATTTCAGATTTTGGTTCTCTGGAAATACGCACTGGAGATGATAAGAAAGAGAAAAGCTATGTCAGTAAGAGTCAAAATACTCTTGCATTTGAAGAACAGCAAGGCAGTACCGTATTTTGATGCCTGGCACTGCCTTAGGCCCTGGCAAAGCTTTTCTGACCACACTGCCTGTAACCTCCCCACCTGCCATGGTGTAAAAATGAAGCAAAATGATGCAGGTTTGGGTTTGGTTTTTTTTTCCTCTTTCAGATTTATCACTGCCTCCGGAGGAGATGCCCCCGGCGGAACAGGGGCTACAGCGATGAGATTTCCTCACACCACAGAGGACACTGCAGTAGCGGTGGGAGTTTCCCAACCCTCCAGGGACATGGTTCCTTCTTCTGTGGTGGGGACGGCTCAGTCACCTACAGCTGCAGCCGGGGACCTTCATTCTGCCAGCCCATGCCAAGATCATCCACCTACAGCATTGAAGGGGGGTACAGATGTGGCGGTGAGGGATCTGTTGCAATAAGCAGTGGTGATAGCGGGGGAACGTCTCGCTGGGGCATTGCAGGGGGGACAGTCCCAGTCTACGGCCCAGGGAGCGCAATAGGGTGCGGCAGTGAGGACATCATTGAGAGCTCTGGGGGTGGTGGAGGATCCAGCTGCCACAGTGGGAAATTGGGCATCACTGAGGGAGGAGGCTCCAGATACGGATACGATGCGTCACCGAGAGAAAAGGCCTTAACAACATATGGGGGCAGTGGTGGGTCAGGCTCCTACATCGGAGGATCGGGCTATGGCATGGGGGGATGCTCAGGCCCAGAGCTCAGCTCTGGAGGTGGTGGGTTCTCCCAGGCCATGCAGCAGAAATGCCCCGTGGTCGTCCCCACCGTGGAGACCCAGCAGAGCAAGCAGACCAGCCACTGGCCTCCCAGCCAGAAGAAGTGACTGATCCAGCAACTCCCCCTTGCTCAAAGAAAAGTGCCCGGGATGTATTGCTATGGCCGGGGAGCTTCGCATTCCTCGCCTTGAGTTGTGCGAGTAGTGCTGTTGTGAGCACTGCTGGGAAAGAGGATTTGTGCTTTGGTGATGCGGAAAGATTCTTCTCTCCATCTCCTTTTGCTCATGGGTTGGAAAATAAAACGTCATAGTGTGTGGGAAAATCCAGTATCTGAATGATTTCTTTCATTTCTGGCTCCTTCACTCAAAACACACATAGATACTCAAGGAGTCTACTTCACAACACAAGATTTATCTTTCACGGTTTTTGCTATATGTTTAACAACCATACTCAAATGTAATATTTATTTTAGTAGAATTAAAATACATCATTTTCAACAGCAAGAGAAGGTTCCTGATTTTGCTCTTGCTGAAGCTAGAGCTTCCCCCATGCTGTTCCCATCAGGTGGACCTGCCGAGACCCTCTGGGCACGCAGGCCAGACCCTGCGAGTTTCGTTAAGAAGATATGCTAAACTCCCAGGTGATTTCCAACTGATTATTATTTACAGCGTGACCTTGGGAGTGCAAGGTTGTTTACCTGGAAACAATTACTCGCCAGGCTCCTGCCCCAGAGAGATTGCAGGTGATGTTGTAAGCAGGAGCACGTAACCCTTCTGCTTGCACCAACGGCGTGAGGCAACTCCAACAAGCTCGTTTGCTTCTTCACGGTAACCTGTTTCATGACATTTTTTGATAGGATCAGGCCCTAAATCAAGCACAGGGAGAGGATGGTTACTCTGTGCTGCGCCAGTGGGACGGTGCGGGGGAGGCTTGAGCATCCTGTGATGGTTGTTACATGGTATTTGCTAAATATTTAGTGTTTTGGGACTGTTTTTTGAGTTTTTTGACTCCTCCAAACACTGGTGATGAAGGGAAAAAAAACCCATAGGTCTGTGCCCATTTAAAAAGGGGTCAAAAGAGCATAAAATTACACTGTAAAATATTTTTTACCATTCCTGCTT